TTTGATTCCTCAGTGCCTCCTATTAAAACCATAACAAGTCGTAATTCAAAACCTTCAATTGTAAGATTTCTGCCCAGGATGGAGGTAGAGGAAGTGATGCATATAATTCATTCATTTATTCATTCATTTAACCAACATTTGAGAAGCTCTATGTGGCAGGCAACTGAACAAAATGCACTCCTGGTTCTTGAAGAATTCAGAGTCTAATCAACAGAGTGCCTAATAAACAGGTCATTTCAATAAGAATTGATAAGTGCCATGATGGGGAATGTGCAGGGTGCTCCTGGAAAACATGGTGGGCACTAAAACTAGCCCAAGGCATGAAATAATGGGCACACCTTTTGTTGGGTGTGGGAGAGTATCTATGAATCTGTGTTGAGGATGTTGAAGAGGTATGTTTAGAATAAATACAGCTATTCATTAAGATAAATGTGACAGGAAACGGATAGGGAAGCAGGGAGGAAGAACCCCAGTATTTGGGATAAATACATGAACTCTAGTCTTGGTTGTACCCTTCCCTTACATGTGCTCTTGGCCAGGTCACTGAATTTCTCTGTAACTCAGCTTCCTTGTCTGTAAAACCAAGTTGGATCACACTATTTCTTCTTCATCTTCTTCCTCTTTTTTTTAACATAATGGTTTCTCTTCTTTCTTGATATTTTAAAAAAATTTATTTATTTGGTTGCACTGGGTCTTAGTTGTGGCAGGGAGGTTCCTTAGTTGCAGCACATGGAGTCCTTAGTTGTGGCATACGAACTCTTAGTTGCAACATGCTTGTGGGATCTAGTTCCCTGACCAGGGATCGAACCTGGGCCCCCTACATTGGGAGAGCAGAGTCTTATCCACTGTGCCACAACGGAAGTCCCCACACTATTTCTTCTTTGTGTACTTGACAGTTCCTTTCTCCAATTCCTTTAAGTCTTGGTGTTCCTCAGAGTTTGGTCCTTAGTTCATTGCTCTTCTCATTCTGCAAATTCTCCCTAAATGATCTCATCCACTTTTATAGCTTTGGTTATAACTCATATGGAAATGAAACCTGAGTCTATACGCTAGCCCAGTTCTGTGGGCTGTCTACCATTGTATTCCTCTTCTTGCTGCACGTCATTCCACAGGCATATGAAGCCCAACATGTCCAGAGCTGAGCTCATCACCTTACCCACTAAACTGACTCCCACTTCTGACTCCTCCCTTGGTTACTGGCAGCACCATAATAGTGCTCCTCAAGCCAATGACCGTGAAGTTAATTTCACTCTCCTTTTTCCTTTAAACTCACAAGCAATTGTTTGTCAAGTACTGCTTATTTTGCCACCTAACTATTTCTGGAATTCATTCTTTTTTCAAGATATCCCAGAAATGGCTCAAATTTAAAATGTTCAAAACTTAACTCATTTTCCCTTCCCAAACCTGATCCTCTTCCTGTGTGTTCTAGGAGAATGTTATCCCCATCCACTCAGTTGCTAAATATGGAACTTGGGCATCACCATTGATTTCTCCCTCTTTTTTTGCCTTCCATAACCAGATAACCATCAACTCCCGATGTCTGACCTCCTATTTGCCTCTTAAATCTATCCACTTATCCATTCTTATTGTGATCATTTTTCACTTCCTGCAGCAGAATCCTAATTGGCTTCCCTGCCTTAGCTTCAGTCTTAACTTCCTCTGACTTCTTCTCCACAATGAAGCCAGATCTGATCATATCAGCAACTTCCCTCTCCCCCACTCCCCATTTTCCAATTCTTTGAATCCTGGCATGTTTCACCCTCTAGACTATAAAATCTAGGATGGGGTCATAATCCATTCACCCTTGTCTCCCCTGCACCTAGCACACTGTACTTGGCACAGAATAGGTGCTCAATAAATATGAACCCGCGCTCATCCCCCTTTCTGACTCTCCGTTATTTACAGCAGGTAAATCCTTGACATGTTCTAGGTGTGGCAGACCTCTGGAGGCACAGAGTATCATGATACGGTTCACTGTTGCACGAGTTGAAAGCTATCAGAAAATAACTGCAAAATCAACGTATCTACTAAACAAAAACAGACTCACAGACATAGAGAACAGACTAGTGGTTGGGGGGGCAGGGTAGGGGAGGGAATGAATGGAAATCTGGGATTAGCAGAGACAAACTATTATATATAGGATGGATAAACAACAGGTCCTACTGTATAGCACAGGGAACTATATTCAATATCCTGCGACAAAGCATAACGGAAAAGAATACGACAAAGAATATATGTGAATAACTGAGTCACTTTGCTGTACAGAAGAAATTAACACATTGTAAATCAACCATAGTTCAATAAAATTTAAATAAATAAATAAATAACTGCACCGTAATAGTACCACATGAATTGCACAGCCAGTACACAAAAGGATGCATATCCCAAGGAATCTTCATGATGGCACTAAAGACTAACGTCACCCTCATGGCTCTGGGTAAACGTGTTCCCCTTTCCGGACCTCTGTTCGCGATCTGCAAAATGAGCACGTTGTGAGAGGTGAGATAAAACCCATGAGCCGCCCCCGGTGTGAGAAATTACCGGGCCGACGGAGGGCCTGCGCGTGCGCGTGCGCAGGAAGCGGGCTTTCCGGCGCGGCAGTCCCGGCGGCCCCCGGAGGAGGCGGGACGAGGCGGGTTCCCGCGGTTCCGCCGCGCCATTGGCGGGCGGTTTGAATGACGGAAGTGACGGGAGCTCGGCGATGGCCACCACGCAGGCGCACAAACGGCTGTCGGGAGGCTGGTGTGTGGCGGCCGCCGAGACCTTCTCTGTCTGAGCCGCGGTTCCTGAGTCCGGGGTCCCGTTTCCCGGGTGAGTGACGGCCGCGCCGCGTCCCCCGCGGCCGCAGGCGTGCACGACTCCTCGAGGCCGCGAACCGGGAGTGTGCTTCGGATGAAGGGGGTGCCGCGCACGCAGCACGGCCCGCGGTTCTCCGGCCTCGGCGGGCCGCGGGCCCCGGCTGGGGTCGGGCTGGGGTCGGGCTGGGGTCGAGCAGGCGGCCGGGAGGAGCGCCGGCGCAGCGGGCACGCGCGTCCCGACCCAGACCCGCCTGCTTCGTGCGAGAGGTCACTCCGGGGCCTTCGGCGCGGGTGGCTTTGCGCGTCCTCCCGGGATCGGGTCTCGCGGGGTCCCTGAGCTTCCAAGTCAGGGCGGCCGGGAGGGCCTTCGCGGTCGCTACTGTGAACGCTTCTGGCTGCGTCCTGCCCACCCTGCCCCCCGGTCACCTGCGGAGTGGCCTCAATCCTGGTAGCCGTTTAAGAGCACTGCCTGGAATTGTTTCATGCGGAGAGCGTACTCTTTCTCGGTGTCTCTCACCTTTAATTTCTTAGATATTAAGTCCTGCCACAAACCCGAGCTTTTACAACAGTGGGGAATTTTGAATCTTTAATATTTAGAAAATATTTGGCAGTTTATATTCGTTAAGTCACATAGTCATCAGAACAACCTGTTGGACACGATATTGTGATTCCCCTTATATAGTTTAAGGAAACGAGACCAAAGTGACTTAAGGGTCTTTCTTCTTTAAAGTGGTAGTGTTGGGCCTTGAACCCAGATCTTCTAAGTCTGGTATATGTGATTACGATGTGCCAGCTGCCATTTAATCCTCAGGACAAAGTCTTGCAAGATAAGTAGCAGCACCTTTATTATTTGTCAGTTAGAATACATACAATTTGAAAATCCATATTGGTATGAATAAATACTAAAGTGAGGGAATGGGGGAAACTCTTTCTTACAGTAGGATTCCAGTTGGTAAGTGTAGACGGAATAATGGAAATAGAGAATACCTTTTGACAAATGCCTTAGTAATTGTTTCAGGCAGTCATCAATGGATACTAAACTCAGTTGGTAGAAGTATGGTGAGGAACATGATATTTATATAGCCTCAACTATCTCCACCAAATACTTAAAGAGGAAAAGTAGTATGTACAGTGGATAAACCCGTTAGACATCTCCTTAATCAAGTGATCAAAATTTGCATCATGTTAACATCACTTACCTCCTGGTGTGATGCACTGAGAAGGGTGCCTAGTGACTTCTGCAGTGGTCTTGGCAAAAATGCATAACCTTAGTCCAAACACAAGAAGGGATTAAACACATCCACATTGAGGGACAGTCTGCAAAACAGCTGGCATCTTTTAAAAATGTCAAGATCTTGAGGGGAAAAAAAAACAGACTGAGGAAGGTCTCAGATTAGAGGAGTTGAAGGAGGCAAAACAATCTTGGCAGCCATTAGAACGTAATTCATAGACCCTCAGCCCCGGTGTTCTGAAATCTGTTTGCATGGATGCCTTCTATGGACTGCTCCTAGTTAATGACTGAGCCTGGTGTGGATGTGAAGGCAGGCCCGTTCCTAAGACAAAAGGGATTCTGGCTTAAGGACTCCCCAGAAGTCTTGCTGAACCTTCCTTAGACTGCATGGCAGTCTAAGAGGCATCTATCCAACTTTCCCTTCCTCCTTCACTCAGTGTCTGACTTTCATGGAAGTCTGAAATGCTCCCATCTTTTACCAGCTCCCTCCCCATTTTCCCTCACACAGAATTTCCCCTAATAAAATCTTTGTGGGTTTCATCCTGTCTTGGCATCTTGCAGGACCCAGAGTAACACAACAGTCAAAGGATATGTTTCCCTTGGCTTGGGTCCTGGTCCAGAAAATGGACCTTAGTGGGATAATTGACGAAATTTGAATACTGTCTGTAGATTAGTTAAAAGTATTGTGCTAGTGTTAATTTCCTGGTTTTGGTCATTGTACTACGGTTGACATTTAGAGAAGCTGGGAATTCTAAGTCAGATTATTTCCAAATAAGTTCAAAAATTAAGAAAATGGTATACAAAAGAAAACAGTTATTCTGTCACATGTTAGGAGGTAAAAATAACAAGTGTATTATGTTTTCCTGTAATCCTCTAGGAAATGAAATGGATGGATACTCAAAACACTGAAAAGTTAAGTTTTTTTCTTTTTTGTTGAGGTTTAACTTAGAATTAAATACACAAACCTAAGTGTACTGTTTGAGGAATCCTTACATATGTATACACTTGTTACATTTGTGTAAAATCATCATACGGATTAAAATATGGAATATTTCTAGTACTCCAGCAGGCTCCTTTGTGCCCCCTCCTTCTCGGTAGTCTCAGAAAGATGACTGACCCCTATTTTAACCTCTTTCATCATGGATTGGTCTTCCTTGTTTTTGAATTTCATGTAAATGGAATTTTATAATATGTCTTTTTTTGCTTTTTTCTCCTTTGGTACTATGTCTGTGGGACTTACCAGAAATTAGTTTTAATAGTTTGAATATGAGTGATTTTTCAGAGACCTTCAGACAAATGAATAAAGATGCATTGTGAAGACAATTTAATCTTGCTCAATTTTTTCTTCTTTGTTTAGTTCTTACCTGTTTTTCAGTCCCCACTCGCAAAATATACTGGCTTAAACAGAATTTTCCTCACTCTATATATTTTAGCATTTCAGAAAGTTAGGAGCCATATGGAGTAAGAAAACGGGATTCTTCCCTTGGTTCTGCCAGTAGATATTGTCACTTGGGTCAAGTCCTTTAACTTAAGAGGCCTTTGTTTCTTCTTGTCTAAAATAAAGAGAACAATTGGCACTTTTCCAAAGTTTTGTGAGTACATTACCAAAGCCTTGTGAGTATCGGCTGAGTGGGATGCACTGGAAAAGATTACTCCTTTTTTGGCATCAGATTGTAACAGTGACCACATATATGTATGTAGCGCTTTACATGAATTAACTCGTTGAATGAGTCATTCATTCATTCAGTCAACACACTGAAGGACCTGCTTACATTGCAAGGCACTGTTTTTAGGCTATGCACATAAAACCATAAATAAGATCATTCCTGCCCTCATTGAGCTTACGTTTTGGCGGAGAATTCATTGAGAAAGTATTAGTTGCTATTAGATAACACCAGCTTCTTCTGGCTGCTGTTTTTACACCTGAGTGAAAGCAGTATCTATCCATAGTGTGTGAAATAATGCCTGGTAGTTGTTATTCATTGTTATTATTTTAATTTGAATATTAAAACTAAAAAAAAACTAGAGCCTCGGTCCTTTAATTGTTAGGAATCTAACTAGAAAGGGCAAGCTGTAATTGATGAAAAACAAGAGGAAAGTGATACCAAGATAGCATAAGGTTAGTCCCCATATGAATGTGAAGGTAATATTCATTACAGGTGGGCAAGTCAGGAATGAGTGGTAGGTGGGTGGAACAAGAATCACTGGAGGGCAGCTTCAAGGAGAAGTGGTGCTTAAGCTTCGGAAAGGGAATTCCCTGGTGGTCCAGTGGTTAGGACTCTGCACTTCCATTGCAGGGGGGCCCAGGTTCGATCCCTGGTCGGGGAACTAAGATCCCACATGCTGCGGTGCAACAAGCCCACGTGCTGCAATTACTGAGCCTGCGCGCCACAACTACAGAGCCCTTGCACGACACCTGCTGAGCCCTCACTCTCTGGAGCCTGTGCACTACAACTAGAGATAAGCCCGCACGGCACAACAAAGAGCCCTCACACTGCAATGAAATATCCCATGTGCTGCAACTAAGACCTGATGCAGCCAACAAACAAATTGCTATTTGTAAATAAGTTGGACCTAGTTTACCCAAATTATTTTATTTGCAAGTACACAGCCCTTTAAATGGTAAAAAGTATTAATATGAATTTAAAAAATTATTCTAATCTTTGCTGCCCTACTTTAATAGATATATATTTTTTAAAAATCAGAACCTTCATATTTAAACTACTACATGAAAATGAAGAGAAAGGTGGTGAATGCCGCCGGCAAGCTGAGATTGAGTCCTAATGAGGAAGCCTTCATTTTAAAGGAAGATTATGAAAGAAGACGAAAACTAAGATTGCTACAGGTAAGATTTATTTGGAACATAGTGTCAAATTCTTTGTCTTCCCCAAATTATCAGTATTTTTTACATTAGAGTGTTTTAAATAAAATGTCGCATTTAACAGTCTTTTCTGGCTGTACAAGAGCCCTGGTTCTTGCGTATTAACTAGTTTTGGAACATTTGAAAAGTATGATGAAACAGTAAATAAATTGAAGAAGAGTTTGAGGATAAGGACTGACTCAGTAATTATTAGGAAATAGTTCATTTTTTGAGACTATTAAATATTTAGCAATATTTTTCTTTTCTTTTTTCTTTATATGTATGTGTGTGTGTGTGTGTATATATATATATATATATATATATATATAAAACTTATATATGCAATACTTATTTCCCAAGATTTTCCAACAATTCCCCGCAATAAATTTGCAGAATACATAATATAACAAAAAGGAAAAAAAAAAAAACCAAAAAAACCAAAAAAAACCCAAACAAAAAAACCTATGAATCAATACAAAAACATAGGCCAACATCCCAACCCCATTGCTGAAAATAGTTCATTTTAAAAATCATATGTAACTGATGAAGATTCGAGCAAGAATATTTGAATGACTTTGAAGAAGACTTACTTCTTCAAAGATAATTAGCTACTGAAATAAATTTATTCAGAAGTTGTCTATTCTTCGTCTCTAGAAGTCTTTTTAGAGTTACGTAGTTAAGTCTTTGTGAAACATTTTAGGTGCCATTCTGTCTAGAATTGGGGATGATGTATCACAGATACGGAATTCTCATCTAGATCTTTCTGTACTTGTCTGGGCTATAAATTTTATTGAATCATGCTTACCAATTTAGCCTCTTGTATGTTATTAGAATGATAATGGCAGTCCGATTAGATCTCTGGGGAGGGAACATAATTGCTAATCATGGAACTTTAGAAGTAGTCTTGAGATTTTAATTTTTCCTCCATCACTTGGATTTTCTGCTTTAAATAGGCCTTATCTAATATAATATGAATATTCAGGAGAATTGATGTAGCTAATACCTAACATTTAAGTTCCTGTTTCCAAATAGCTTTTCAAAAAAGTTGAAGGAAGCCTCTTTTCATAAAATGTGTTAAATACTCATCCTTCAGGTTCGAGAACAAGAAAGAGATATCGCTTTACAAATAAGAGAAGATATAAAACAGAGGAGAAATCAGCAACTCACTCGTTTGGCAGAAGAACTAAGGACAGAATGGGAGGAATCACAAACTCAGAAAATAAAGAACTTGGAAAAACTGTATTTGGCAAGTTTAAGAAATATGGGAGAGGGGCATCAACAAGCCAAAGAAAATGTAAGTGAGCACTTATTTGACTACCTTCCTGTGGTAGTGATACTTGTTAAAAGCAGATTACAGTTGTTAGACACTTATAAAAATGTTTTCATGTATAGAATTTGCTGTGGGCACCCTGAACTTTTTTGTAAATTTAATATAATTTAAGAAATTCTGCTAGGTTCATTTCTTAGTAAGAGTCATGTCAAGAATAATCTATTTCCAATGATGTTTAAGTTAACATTATTCTCTAACAAATTTATGGTTACCAAAGAGGGAAGGTGGGGGGGATAAATTAGGAAGTTGGGATTAATATATACACAGTACTATATATAAAATAGATAACCAACAATGACCTAGTGGATGGCACAGGAAACTATACTCAGTATTTTGTAATAACCTATAAAGGAAAAGAATCTGAACAAGAATATATATATGTATATAACTGAATCACTGTACTGTATACCTGAAACTAACACAACATTGTAAATCAACTATACTTCAATTAAAAAAAAACAAACATTATTCTCTTCCAGTCCTTAACTGTCTGTGTAAATAAAATAATAACCTTCAGAATTAGAAGTTGTTATTCATTTCAAGGATTTTGGACAGATTCAGTGGAGTGAATTCAGATTTCTGGTTTTATTTTCATTATCATTCATTATTCCTCATACCTCCAAAACGGGTAGTGGAGTGTGTATACACTTGAGTTCATTCACAGACAGTAAAAATTCTTTGATGACTTTCACAAAGGCAAAGTAGAACTTAACTCAGCATTTAAGACTGCTCTCTGACCTTATTTTGTTGTTTATTGTGCTTTATGGTTGGAAAATGCTAGATTGTGGTCCCAGAGGTAGTCACACAAAATAAACAAAGCTGCGTTCCAAAGAAGGCACGTCTTTGTTACCAAACTTTTAGGGAATAAGAGAACTCTTTAAAGAATGTGGCAATCAAAATATTCTCGGTCCCTGGTTTTAGTTTGTGTTTTTTAGTAATAGCCATAAGTTCTGACATCAGATTTTTGTAGCTTTATTTATGCCATCATTAATTTTGTGCTTTAGTGCAGTGTTTCATTTGAATACACCGTCATGATTTTTGCCCTTACTGGGTACCACCCATATTATCATATATTTGACATTTTAATCCTGTTTAACATGACATTTTAAGTAATATTTGTTTTTAGGAGCCTGATTTAAATGCTCTGGCACACCGGGCAGCAGAAAGAAAAAAAAAAGCAGAAATGAGGCATAAAGAGGCCCTGAAAGTACAGAAAAATCAAAAAGAAATGTTAATGAAACAAAAAACCTGGTAAAGTAATAGTGATTTTTACCATATTCTCCACTGAAACTGATGTGGCTGGAAGTAAAGGGTACATTGGATACTTTTTAAAAGTCAGTATATCCATTGTGTTTGTTAAACTTGGTTTAAAATAATGCAGTGGGGGAGTGGTTGCTTAGATGGACATACTAACAAATGAGCTTTCTCTTCTAGTCTGACTGTAGTGGCAATTACTAAGTTTCTGGAGAAATGTATTACTAGTTTAGAATGCAAGTCAACCAAAATCTGTCTGCCTCCGATATAAAAAGAAAAAAATCAGTGCAATTATGAACATTAAAAGAGGTTGTAGACTCTGCAAGTCATTGATGAGATTTTTGCATGTTGTAAAAATGAAAGAGCATGTTACTAGTCAGCAGTGGTCATTTTATACAGTGGCCCATCTTTATCGATAATTTCTAGTTTTTTTACTCTAAATTATTCTCAACTAAAGAACATTAGGTGTTTGTTGGGTCACTCCCCATTGTGGAGCTTTATATCTTTAGATATACCTCTTTCACTTGGTAAACATCTTTTTACCTGTTCATTGTGTATAGACTCTTTATTAAACAGCATATTGAGCCTGTGGGATCAGACTGGAGGATTTCTTGAGATTGTAATGGCTTTTATATTCTTAACCCTAAGAGTTGTACTGTAATATTATCTGAAAGATTAATTTATGACATCTTGTGTTTTTTAAGGCATATAAAAGCTCGAAAAGAAGCACTGCTTGCGGAAAAAGAGAGATCTGCCAAAATTACAAGTCTGCCACCTCCTCCTCCGACTCTTTTTGAGGTGAATTGCTTTGAGTATTCGAGCTAGGTTATAATAATTCTTCTTTACTATTAGAATTCAGTGTAGGTCAAAATACCATTTGTATTAATTTTTAACTGTACAGGTAACACATATCTGGAATATTTAAAAATAATCCTAGATATCATTTTACCTATGAATACTTTAGTATGTATCTCTGATGTTTAAGGACTTTTTAAAAAGCACAATACTAATATAATATTGTTCTCAATATAATCTAATACCCAGTCTGTGTTCAGTTTTTCCCAGTTGTCTCAAAAATTTCTTTTGTTGTTTGAAAAACTGTAATGTTTTTTATTTTATTGGGAAAGAAAAGGATTATTTGCCCTAAAGACTTTCCTACATTCAAGATTTGACTATTGTAAATAGTTACCATTTTATAGATAAAGAAATTAGGTTCAGATAAATTAATAAATTTACACAAGATTATGTAAAGTGATAAGAGAGGCCTGTTTCTTTATGGGAGTAAAATGTTTGATTTTGTGATTTGGAGCTTATTTTTTTTAAAAAACATTTAACTTATTAAGCAGAAATTAATTTTGAAAGGTCTTGCCTCTCGTTCAGATTATCTTGTTATGGTTATTAAAATGGCTAGTTTGGATGATTATCAAAATTACATAGTTATTTTTATTAAAAAAAGTAGAAGTAAAAAAAAAATACACATACAGGGATATCTAATTTAGTTGTATAGACAAGTGTATTTTATGTATGTATGATCAGCCTAAGTACCAATATTCTTGTCTTAAGCCTCTGGTTTTGTCAGCCTTCCTGCTTTTATGTTGAGCCATCTGCCATGTGACATTTGATCCAACAAGATCCAAATGGAAAAGGCAAATTTTAGCCACTCCCTCAGTACCTTGTTAAAAGGCAGGCAGTATTTTATCCATGTTTTTTTGATTACTTTTGTCATAATTCCTAATGTTCCTAACAAGCCAAGGTCAAAATTTTAAAGCAAGCAAAACATCGTCTGTGTGAGTGATTTGGCAAATATGCATTATATGTAAAAGTGTGGTTGTACTTTTTTCCCCCAACTTTTTATTATGAAAATTTTCAAAATACAGAGAAGTTAAAAGGAGAGTACAAAGGAACAGCTCTTTGCATTGTGTGTAGATTTCAAATGGTTGTGTATACATTTGAATGAATAAATATATACATTTGAATATAGATTGTAGAGATTGCATTTCACCCTGTATACTTCAGCATGCCTCTGCTAGAATAAGGACATTCTCTTATGCAACCACAACATCACACTAAGAAAATGTACCACGATCCAGTCAAGGTTTACCTGTTGCTTCTGCTTGCTTTGTCTCTTGGTCTCTCTCAATGTGAAACATTATCTCCCCCAACCCTAGCCAACATTTTATTTCAGAATTTTTGAATAGACTAGACTAGTTTCTTATATTCTGTATTTGTCTGATGTGGTTATGTGACTACAAGAGATCTCCATTATAAAGGTATATTTTTCTCTTTTCAATTGCCAAGTAATCTGGGAAATGATACTTTGGCACCAAATAGGTATCTATCACCCTTCTACATTTATTCATTGGCCTACTTCTGTTAGACAAAAGAAGAGAGAACTTTCTCTTATCATTGATTATGAACCACCATAACCAAATGATCAAACTTAGAATCAATAATAGCAGAGCACCTTGCCATTATGTGCCTCCTAATATAATGTAGTAAACTGTACAGCATCACCTATTCAGTATTCTTGTTGAAATATAATCTGGGGCTTCCCTGGTGGTGCAGTGGTTAAGCATCCACCTGCCAATGCAGGAGACACAGGTTCAAGCCCTGGTCCGGGAAGATCCCACATGCCATGGAGCAACTAAGCCCGTGCACCACAACTACTGAGCTTGCGCTTTAGAGCCCGCGAGCCACAGCTACTGAGCCCATGTGCCACAACTACTGAAGCCCACATGCCTAGAGCCCACGCTCCCAAAAAGAGAAGCCACCACAATGAGAAACCTGCGCACTGCAACGAAGACTAGCCCCTGCTTGCCGCAATTAGAGAAAGCCCGCACGCAGCAGCAAAGACCCAGTGCAGCCAAAAATAAAAATAAATAAAATAAATTTATTTTAAAAAACAAAAGAAATATAATCTGGCTTTTAAACCTAAATTCCAGCTTAATGGAAATACAGTGCATGATCTCATGAAAAAAAAGAATAACTGATTAAAATACAAAATTAATTTTTCATTGGATCCTGCTTTAAATGAAAATTAATACTTTTAACCTAACAGTCTATTTTCTGTTTCATTTTTCAGAACATTGAAGTAAAGAAAACTTCTAATGTGAAAACCAATAGTTCTACCTACCATCATCTTTATACTTTTGTTAATAGAGAGGTGGACACAAAACAGGTGATTGACTGTTTTTTCATGACCCTCACTTTATTATTTCTCTGTTCATTGAATTGAGTTACACCTTTGTTCTACATTTATTGTTCTCAGATGTCAAAATTTGAAAAGCTCTACCAACCATATTAGGGTAATAGTGATAAAAAAAAACTTTTAAATATGCTTTGACTTATGATGTCATGTTTATTACGTATGCTGATTTAACATGAAAGAAGAGAGTTGGCTACTTAAACAGTTATATTTTAAAATATTTTTTTTTTACCATAAAACTTTTTTTGACATAAAAATAATACATACTCTGTGAAAATTTGAAACTATACACATAGACACAAACTAGGAAAAACACCCATGATTCCATCACCAAAAAGTAATGCAGTTAATACATTAATGGATTTGTTATAGTGTTTATGTATAAACATATATACATACTTTTCAAAACATGATTTTTAATAGCTACTTAATATTTCATTATAGAATTTATTTAACCATTCTATTGTGTGTTTTTTTTTTGCTTCATAAATGCAAACATAATCATCTTGCACATTTTGTCTACAGCTCTGACTGTATGTTTAGAATAGATTCCTAGAGAGAAATTATAGGCTCCAAACTATATAACATTTGATAACAGATATTTAATACAGATCATTAAATCGCCTTTTAAATAGCATCAGCAACATATGAAAATGGCCATTTTATCATACCCTTGTCTGTATGAAATGTTGTGGTTTAAAAATTATTGTCAGTCTTAAGAGTGACAAATGATTATCACTCCTTATTATAATTGCTATTTCTTTGTAACAGTGGGTTTTCACTTTTTTCGTATTAGATATATCTGTCTACTAGGAAAATAAATTTTCATAGTATAGCATTCATGTGGAGGTTAGAATTCAACAAATTCTGTAATAGCAGGTCAGTATTCAGTCAAGATATGAGATGAGTATTATCATAGAATTAACTTCTCTCTTTTTTTTAATTCTTGAATTTTATTTATGTTTTTATACAGCAGGTTCTTATTAGTTATCCATTTTATACGTATTAGCATATATATGTCAATCCCAATCTCCTAGTTCATCCCACCACCCCCACCCGCCCGCCACTTTCCCCCTGTGGTGTCCATACGTTTGTTCTCTACATCTGTGTCTCAATTTCTGACCTGCAAACCGGTTCATCTGTACCATTTTTCTAGGTTCCATATATATGCGTTAATATACGATATTTGTTTTTCTCTTTCTGACTTACTTCACTCTGTATGACAGTCTCTACATCCATCCACGTCTCTACAAATGACCCAATTTCGTTCCTTTTTATGGCTGAGTAATATTCCATTGTATATCTGTACCACACCTTCTTTATCCATTCGTCTGTCAATGGGCATTTAATT